TTTGTGGGGTTTTTTTTTTTTTTTTTTTTTTTTGGGATTGGGGGTTTTGGTTTTTGGTTGCTGTGTTTTGGTGTGGAGTGTGTGGAATTTGGAAATGTTTGAGACTCGGAGTTGAATTATGATGAATTGTGGATTTTATTTTTATTTTTATTTATTTTTGGGGGTTTTGCTTATGTGTCTGCATTTTTTATTAACTGCTGCAGGGGTTTCGGGATGTGTATCCGCGAGTGGATTGAGGAGAATGGATATTTTTTGGTCTGTTGATTGCCGTTGGATTGTTGTTGGTTGAGGGTGTGATTAGTGCAATCTGATTTTGAGTGAAGATGGTTTTGTGACGTGGTTGAGTGAGTGTTTTTTTGTAGGAGAAGGTTTGTTACTGTTGTTGTTGTTGTTGTGTTGGTTTGTTTTGTTGAAGAGTTTGGAACGTGGTCGGCGGACAAGAAGAACTGAATTTTTGTTGGATGGGTAATAAACTTGGGAGGAGGAGACAAGTGGTGGATGAGAAATATACGAGGCCGCAAGGGTTGTATAATCATAAAGATGTGGATCATAAGAAACTGAGGAAGCTGATACTTGAATCGAAGCTTGCACCTTGTTATCCTGGAGATGAAGAAACCGCCTTGGATCGCGAAGAGTGCCCAATTTGCTTTCTGGTCTGGTTTCTTTCGCTTACCTTATGTATTTGTTTCCCTCTACTTATCCTGTTACTTTAGATTTTTAACAAATGAACAAATAAGTCAATTCAATTGTGCGCACTTGTTTGGAACTGCAAATTTGACCGGTAGGACACCTTTGTTGGATTTATTTTATTGACCTCTTTGAAATTGGAATAAACTGATGGGAAATCTTTATATACTGTTTATGCTTTTGTCTCCTTGAAGTCTATTTCAAACTGTGAACTTCACATATGGTTTTTCTAATCACCGCATTCCTTTGTGTTTTATTTTTTGGCCTAATTTAGTATTATCCAAGTCTAAACCGATCAAGATGTTGCACAAAGAGCATTTGTACAGGTAATTATTTGGTTACCTTCACTGGGTATATATTCTGTTATTAGCATTTGTATGCAACCTGATTATTTTCCTTTTATCAGAGTGCTTTTTGCAGATGAAAGTTCCAAATTCAACTCGGCCTACACAGTATCCTACAGTACTAGTTTCTGCCTTCAATATGAAGATACAACTCATAATTGTTGGTCTAAAACTTCCATCTTTTGTTGCTTTAATATGAAAATAATTGCTTGCCTTAACAGCATAAGATGTCCCTTCTGCAAAACAGCAAATTATGCTGTGGAGTATCGTGGTGTGAAATCAAAAGAAGAGAAGGGGTTGGAACAGATTGTAAGTTGTTGTCCAACATGATTATTATTTTTAGGAATGCATTTTCTGCAATATTTTCACAAGTTCATGTGCATTCTCATAATTATTTAGGAAGAGCAACGTGTTATAGAGGCAAAAATTAGGATGCGGCAGCAGGAGCTTCAGGATGAAGAGGAAAGAATGCACAAAAGACTAGAAATGAGCTCTTCAAATGTGAATGTGGCAGTTGCAGATGTTGAATACAGTTCAAATGCGGGTAACTCTTCAGACAGTTCTAGATTTCATCTGTATATGTGTATGTGACTAATCCCAGTTGTATAACTATAAATTATAAATTATTCTTTTGTTTCAATCTTGTAGTGTCTGCATCTTCAATCTCTGTTGTTGAACATGATGAAATTGTTTCTTCTCAAGACTCATGTGCCACATCAGCGGTTAGACCAAATGCAACCACTCGGACCAATAGGTATGCTGCCAACCTTGATTGCTTTTTTTCTTCCCACTTTCCTATGTTTTTCTAATTATGTCTCTTACCATTTCTGCATCCAATGTTTCCTCACTGACTTAGGGTGGTATTAAATATTTAAAAATCAACAAGGGGAAGAAAATGAGTTGGCATGTCTAATTGATGAAAAGTTGTATGGGAATTTAACATTGCTTCATACTGATTATGATCCATTTGTGTTATATATTCCCGTGAATATTGCATCAGTTGGGTTATACTATGTTTATCATCCAAAATTAAGTCCATTGAGATGAGATAGAATAATCTTCTTCTCAGTCTTGTCTGAATACTAAATTAAGCCAGCCAACTGTGTATCTGTGCTATAGTTGGATGATGCTTTGGTCCAATCAGGTTATGAGAAGCACACCTATTCTTTATCTGGACTCACTATAATCATAACTTTGACTATAATTATGTGAATGACTTGAGTCCATATGCAATCTGAATTCAAATCATAAACTAATGGAACACTTGGTATTGCTTGGTTCTACCAATTAATTTTGTAAGTACCATTACTGACTATCACTTGCATTTAAGTTATCTCCAAACCTCTCCATGAAACATGCTGAGTTCGAGCAATTCATTGAGCATTCTAAGCATGTTTTCTTTTAAATCCCTATAAGATAAGTGCACTTAATCATATTAGCACATGAAGAGGGAAATTTATGATTTTAAGTTATCTTGTGGTGATTGTTAAGTGATAGTCTTGTTGAATAAGAAAGGCAATAGATCTTTAATTTTTTATCATAATTGAAGGAAATATTCACAACTTTTATTATGTGACAGTTTTAATCCAGCATCAGAAAGTCTGCCTGCTTCTATGAGCTCTGCAGAATAAATCACAATTAAATTCAGCAGCTTCAAACTAGTTTTACTCCCTGCTAAAATTTGATTAATTATTTGTTGAAGAATGTTTGGTTTCATAATTGCTTATCTGGTGAAGTAGATGGAGAGGGAAATTTGTATAATAAGTTAGTTATTATTTGATTCCTTGGTTTTGATTCAGTAGCCCATCTTGATTCGATGCTAGTCTTGAAGTTTTGATTCAATGGATGAATATGGTTTGACGTGCACAAAAGGATGAGTCGCACAGATGGACAAATGTTACCAGTGACTAGCTTTTGTAGAGGAGGATTCAAAATGCAGACCAATATGTCAAATCCAAGATTTTTTTTATTAGTACTTAATCAACTTACATGGAGGCTTTTACTTGTGAATACACTTGTGAGTTTGGAGGATTTGCCTTTTTATGTAAGAGATTAAGGAAACTCCTCCAACTTCAATATCCCAGTATAAAGGAGAAAACAAAGTAAAAGGAAAAGATATATAAACCTCTTCCTTTTTTGTTATTAAATAGATTTTAAAAATTTTACTTGTCAATTTCTTGGATTTATTGCTGCTCATGTACGTATAATTTGAATTGAAAAAGTAGAATGGAGACAATTATTTAAGAGGTAGAATATTTTATGGATTTATACTATGTTTTGGTTATGCTATTGCTATCTGCTGACCATTTTTAAACTGACTCCTGTACAGTATGTCTATCTTATAGTTTGAATTGCTAAGGAGATTCTACAATATGTTTGCAAAATCTTTGGACAGCGTATACAAGTTTAATGTATTAAAAAATAGTATTGATGAATGCTCTATGTTGAAAGTACAAAAATTCATATATTTAAATGTTATTAATATATTTAAATGTTATATCTTTCAGAAAAATTTTATGTTATCATAATACTGTAGGTTTAGGTAGAAGGCTTGGGGGTACTAACTATTTATATAGTTACAATCCTTACCTTTCACTCACTGTTTTAACCTTTGATCTCCTTCACTGGATCTCTGGTCTTTGAGAACCTCATTTGCATTTGTATCACAAAGTGGAGTCACTTATTGTGGATAAACCCTCAAATGGTCAATGACATCCTGTTACCAACTTCAACTAGCTTTAGCCTCACCACCACATGTGGAGGCAATTTTACCTCCTTCAACTCATCGCCATTTGCCAAATGGTTGCAATATGTAATCCCTTCTTTTCTCATCAAGAGGCATCTCTCTTCCGGTAGAAACACAATCCTCATTCCTTAAGAGGGAGGACTTGCTAGATGCTTAATGGAAATGGTGGCAGTAGCATAAATCACCGGCAATTTAACAGCAATTGCTGGCCAGTTCAAGGAGTCCAAGTCTTGGGCAAAATTTCAAATGTTAAATGGCTCATAGAAGGTTTGCAATTTCATATTTGCAATAAAGATGGGATCTTTTGCTTTCGGGGGCTGAATTTCCTTAAAAAATCTGTGTTGTATTAGTGCTGGTTCATGTGCACATTGTTGCCATGTCAAATAAAAAAATTAAACCACATAAGAGAGAGAGAGAGAGAGACATGACATTGTTGGGGAAAGTAGTTTCTTTTCTTTCCTTTTCCCCCTATATGCATACATCTTTGATTATGGTAGATTTATGTAGAAGTGATGAGCGTAGATGTACAATTTGGTTTTGTTTGGTAGTATTGCACATTTGGACTTGTTGGTATCTTGTATAGGCCATGTTGATCACCTGTTGATATGTATGATCCAGCAGTGAAGGAAGCACAGATACTTTAAATGGTTGCCACTTTGGTATTGGATAATTCTAATCTGCCTGGTTGCATTTAATCTTGTATTTTTTTTTGGAATATTTAGGTGAGATCATAAGAATTGTATGATGATAGTCTTCTATTATGTTTAAAGTTACTAATGTGAGGCTAATGAAATTTAATTTGATGCTCTTCTTGTTACTCTACATATATAATTTTTTAAAATAATTCTGAAAAGAAAAATTCTTTTTCTGTTTTCCCTATTGATTAGCCAACTACTATTTTTAATTTATGATGGCTATAGAGTGTAGAGTATATTAGATGAGAAAAGAGAACTAATCTTGACCATGAAACTATTAATAAATAGGGGGTTGTGAGTGTATCTGTGCACATGTGTTATATGCGTGTATCTGTGCACATGTCTTCTATTATGTTTAAAGTTACTAATGTGAGGCTAATGAAATTTAATTTGATGCTCTCTTGTTACTCTACACATAATTTTTTAAAATAATTCTGAAGAGAAAAATTCTTTTTCTGTTTTCCCTATTGATTAGCCAACTACTATTTTTAATTTATGATGGCTAGAGTGTAGAGTATACTAGATAAGAAAAGAGAACTAATCTTGACCATGAAACTATTAATAAATAGGGGGTTGTGAGTGTATCTGTGCACATGTGTTATATGAGACGATATTTTGTGTCGTATGATATACAACACCTACATTTGTGCAACATAGGTGAAGCCTCGTCTTTTTATAATTGGCCCTTTAGGATGATATCTTATTGAATAAATATTAAATAGTTGTGTTTGTTTATGGAAATAAATGCACAAGTTCTTTTCATGTATTTTATTTTCAAAACAATACATTTTGGGCTTACCTTATATTTTTTCCCAAATGCTGAAAACTGCAGAGATGATGAATTTGATGTTGACCTTGAGGACATTATGGTCATGGAAGCTATTTGGCTTTCCATTCAGGTGAAGATTTTTATTTGAATATGCTACCTGTAACCTATCAATGATTGAATTTGTTATCAAAATTGAATATCACCACTTCCCTGCCATATAGTGGTTCACTACTTGTTTTAAAAACATTTAACCACGTACTATATAGTCTACTGTTTTATTGTCAATTTTGAAATTGTGCAATTTCAGTTTATTTTGCTCACAATATGTGCAATAATGTTGAAGATAAGTAAATTCTTCCAAAGGAGTGCCATATTTTAATCTGTCTTGTTGTACCTCATTCTTTATTTTCTGCTTCTGAGAATTTATTTTTGGAATGGAAGAAATATACGAATTTTCAGAGTTGAGCTTGTTCCATAGCTTTTGTGTTGTAAATGGTAGTTCCTTAATTACAATGGAGAAAAATCCTTTACGGTTAAATTTCTTTATTTCTTGTGCATGTTTTAGGTAGCATTATTCATACTTAATATATAATTACTTATGGAATTAAATAACTTTATGTCCATGCCATGTGAGGCACTTATATTCTGGCTGGTTTTGATGCTGTGTCTTTGTGACATCATCTCCCATTCGTGCCCGTGTCTATACCTAATAGATTTCAACCGACCCTTTTTTAAAAGTAGAGAACTTTTCGTGTATGTATATCAAATTTTGATCCTCTTAATTACCTGGTGACCTTCAATGTAAACCCCATCATTTGAAGGAAAAATAATTATAAGAAACAAAGGTAGTTTCTATATATACCTAGCTCAAAAAGATAACTCATGCTTGACCTATTTTGGAAAAAAAACAAGTTACTCGTGCTTCAATGATTTTCAGTTTTTATCTATTAGGTTTGAATGCAAGTTAGCATCTTGTTACCTTGCATTAGCATTCCAAAGTCCAAAACAAGGCCCCGGCTTATTATAATATATTTTGGGTAACCAATAGATTTTTGGAAAAGCTACCACACTGCAATCCAGATCTTTGTTTATTTTTCAAATTAATGTTTATATAGACTAGGCTGTGAAGTCTATACATGGTAGCATATTATGAAATTAAAGGTTGGATACACAGTGCCACGTACAAGTTTCAGAGAACACAAGTCTATATTGACACTTCTTAATGGTTTGTGTTTTGCTGTATATTTGATGATTGTGGTTAACTCAAAATATGTATTAAAACTATAGGAGAATGGCAGGCAGAGAAATTTATCTTTTGCTGATGCTACTTCTGGACACTACGTAGCTGATGGTCGCTATGTTTCATCTGTCACGGCTCCGGCTCCGGCTCCGGCTCCGGCTCCACCAACGGGATCATCCTCATCTCCATCTGGGGGTCTTGCTTGTGCCATCGCAGCTCTTGCTGAGCGGCAGCAAATGGCTGGAGAATCATCTATGAACTTCACCAATGAAAATATGTCATCATTCAACGCTCTACAGGGTTCCAGAAGGTTTTATAACAGACTAGGTAGGGATATGATTAGTTATCCACCTACTGACAACCTCAATGAGGAGCCACCAGATGATGCTGTGGCGATAACTAGGAGCCATGGGGAATGGGATACAGACCATGGGACACATTTGACTGAAACAGCAACTGGCTACACAAACTCAGTTGCAGCAGAAGATCATGGTGAACTATCTTCTTTGCCAGAGTCTGATCACATTGATGGAAACCTTCAAACTGCCACGGAACCTATTATTCCTGAGAGCTTTGAGGAGCAGATGATGCTTGCTATGGCCGTCTCTTTGGCTGAAGCCCGAGCCATGTCAACTGGACAGAGTGCTTCTTGGCAGTAGTTTTTGGTTTAGGTGCTGGTTTAATCTTTCTTAAATTGGTGATGCTTGCCTTGGCTATCTGGTAAGCCGAGTCCAAGGTTTGAGAATTTGAGGAAAGTTCACTGGTGTGCAATTTGTTCAAAAGGATAAGGTAGTGATCTCTTCTCACACGAATTTATATATATAAATGTCAAAGGAAAACTGATGATTCTAGTTGGTGAAAGGTTGCTGCTTAATGCCATTTTTTTTACTCGTGTTCAATGTCCTCTCTTTGCCCCCTATTGGTTTTATGTAAATAATTTTAGTCTTTGATAGATGTACTTTCATTCTTACAGTAATATATGGCACATTTTAGACACGTACTGAAGAAGAAAGGGAATTAAATTTCTGTCATGAAAACTTATCTTTGGTTCTATTCAATGAGATGAGTTATATAAAAGTTATGCCTGTAGGTGTGGCACTTAAAATATCTGCAAAACTTTGCATAAATTGTCTGAATGAATGAATTTGTACAGTAACAAAGTGCACTCTACTGAAGTTAGTGCGTTGGGTAAATGGGTGGATTTGGCAGATTTTTTGGACCTAGGAAGGGATAGGATTCAAAACGAGGATTCTCAACGAAGCCCCCGCACCCGTCCTCCTCTCATTCTTTTATTTGCTTCACACGCGTAGGTGAAATGCAAAGGCAGCCTTAATTCTCGTTAAACTGTTTTATGGCAAGCTGTATAGCTTCCCTGTGAAGAAGTGTTCTATCATGTGAAGTTTTGTTCATGATAATTGTGGGTGAACTTCATTATATTTTGAGAATGTTATTTACACAGATGATACCTCACACACTTTTTTTTTATCTCATTATCTTGCACATACCCATTTTTCTTTTCTGAGGTCTGTATTTTACCTTTATCTGTACATGTATATTTTCTCATTTGTTATTTTCCGTGGGTGACATTGAAAAATATATGGAAGGTGATGTACTTGTGTTATTGATATTCCTGAGTAGGTTCAATTCCAGAGCCATAACATTTGCTCAATACTTCACTGGCTAAGGTGATTGTATGTTGTACAAGGATACTGGTCATATGGCCTTAATGCGATGAAAGGGTTTAATTGGATCGAGGCAAACGATGTACAATGAATAGGTAATAGAAGACCCGGTTTCTAGTTACTATAAACTATTAGTTGCTGGCTAGTGCTTCAATTATCACTGATCATTGGAAGCCATACCAAAATATCTAAAAAGCCTCTCTATCTAACCAAGTTGCTCTCTAAGAAAGTGATTTGATCACCAAAGAATTCCACTGTTCCTTTTCCTTTTTTGGTTTTAAAAGACAAACGCTTGAGAGGGGTTTTCTTATGTCCGTATAGTTAACTGGTCAAAAATTTCATTTAAGGGTAGTTTTGTTTACCAGAAGACATCATTAACGAATGGTATGGTCGACCAATAATTGAAGATGTCAATCATAGATATTTCGGAGGTCCATTTTTAAACAAATGTTGCATATTAACCAGGTGTTGCTTTGAGAATGAGGGAATGTAAGTGTGATGTGGTGTAATGATAATACAATACAATATTGAATTATCTTCCAGTCGTGAATTAAGTCGCAACATTTATGCATGAGTGCCAGAAGTTTCCGAATACGTATTTCTCAATAAAAATAGGATCTGACGCATGGCACCTGAAACCAAAGATCATCAGAGAAATAGCCTGTGTTCTTGTCATGTGAATCATACCTACTTTGTTCTATGTTCTGTGTTCTGTGTATAAGTGTCCACTTCACTAGCCACTACAAACAATATTTTTAATTAATGGGCACCTCTAAATAGTAAGATCGGAATGTTAGGACAAAAAAAAAGTAAGATCAGCCAGAAGTATCTTTTATTTTTTGGGGGGTTCAATTCTCATTGGTGGTAGGTCATATGATTGTGCTTTATGGCATACCTGACTTTGAACATGAGAAACTCCCAACCCAACAAAATATCTTTTGTTGAAGGTGCCAAGATCTGCTTTTAGGGGTTTCACATTAAATCTTTTCGTTGATGTAGACGAGGTTTATAGTTGAAGATAAATGGGGGAGTTCATTAAACGACCCAAGACATTACAAACCAAACTATTCCGTTATCCTAAGAACCGAAATTGAGCACATTTTGAATGAATTGTTGTTGACTATATTGGTTAAACCCTAACCAGATTTTCCTAAGAAAAATGGCCACGGGTTCAGGAAGATATGAATCACGTGAATTTAATAAATACCAAAAAAGCTGAATTCAGCCTCAGCGTATGGGCAGTGGGCACCAACTACACAATTTATTCTTTTAGCGTCACTTTATGATACGCTTTCTGTCCAACTGTATGAACTCCCCCATTTTCTTAAAAATTGTTTATGAAAAAAAAAATAAAATAAACACAAATAATAGGAGTAATATATTTAATTTACAACAGTGACAACAGGTCTTAACCGTATATTTTGTATAAACAATGAACCCATCATAAAATATAAAATAAAATAAAAATTATTTAACAATAGTGTTACTTTTTCTTTTTCTTTTTCTTTTTGCATAAAAAAATCTTTTAGAATGTTAACACTAACAATATATTATCTCAGAATTTATGTAAAAATACAAATTATTGCGATTAATTTAACTATACTAGATCAAGAATGGATTCAGAAAGTAAGGAAGGGGTCAAAAATTAAAAAAGAATACTTACATAAACTAATGTAAAATACAATTATAAATCACTTTTGAAATACTCAATTCTTGAATGATCTTTTAATCACTTTCAGAACATATCAAGATTGATTAATCTAAGAAATGATAATTATAAATTTCGGTTATTCAGAGATGATCAACATTAAATGTTAGTGGTCATATGAGCACTTTAAACTTAATATATTTGGCTCTTTTCTTTATCTCTATTTTCCTTCTTCAAATGTAGTTGGCTCGTTTATAGAATAAAATTTGTAAAAAGGATCATTATTGACGAAAATCATTAACTATAATTTTTTTTTATCTGAATGAACTGCAAAATTTTATAAATCACGTATTATTTAATAATAACAAATTTATCTTCCAAACCGGTACTATACTACTATTAACCTTTATATCTAGTACCTGTTCTGAGTCTTGCATTACGTATTAATTAAATGATTATTCACGTACATAGGCTTTAGCTTTTAATTAAAGTGAACCCTGCATCTTAAAAGTTCCAAACACACAATTAATTTGAGCTCAATATAGAAAAGTACACCATCATTTCAACATTATGCATCACGGTTTTGCTTACCATTCCTTAATATTTATTACTATAAAGCTATAAGCTTTGGACTATTATTTTAGTGCTCTTTTTCATAGGTAGACCAAATTTTCAATGATCTCATACACATACTAAGATCGATCCAATACTATGATAGCCACTTTCCTTAAAAAAAAAATATATAAAAAAAACTAAAATGGTCACCGATTAGATTAATCTAGTGTTGCGTGTGGATATGGCCACTTGGTCAACTAATAATGAGGTTGGGCCAATGAAGTGGTTGAAGAGATATCATAAGCATTTAACCTTCACATGCATTGTCACAATTTGTCTAATCATAACAAATCTCATCCACCTCCTTCCCCACTCACATGCATCATCTTTTGCTAACAATATGTTCTATGCAAATATATATAACCTAAACCCTAAAATTTTCATTTTTTTCCCTTCAATTTATTTAATTTGATTCATCTATTATTAAATATTTAACATGGTCTCTTAATTTTTTATATGATGCATGTAGTCTTTCTCAAATTGAGATTAATAACGTTGAATTTGTGCATATGTAGTAGTGGTGCGTGTCGTTTTCTTATTTTGTCATGTGTAAAGTATGTTAACATTGTTAGTTTCAATTGAAAGGAAAGAGCCACATTACATTGTGTTAGAAAATTAAGAAAGTAAATTGAATCTTTTAATAATGCATAGATCAAAATAAATGAATTAATCAAAGTAAAAGACGAAAGAGTAATTTGAAATTTATCGAAGAAACTATCCTATTACTCTTTTTTCTCTTGAAACAAAAAACTCCAATGATAATAACATCTCACAAACCATACTTTTCTGCGATTGATTATTGGAAAAGTGTAAAATGTGGCCCTGATCATGGGGCCTGTGCCTTATGGGTATGGTAAGTACACCCCATGTTGAGATTGTCATGAAAAAGTTGTTGTACACTGGCATGCCATTAATTGTAGCAAAAATTTGCATTTAGATCCATTGAACTATAAACCATTTGTAAATAGCCACATAGAGTTTCTTCTATATTTAATTCCTAAAGTGTATCAATTATCACAAAAGATTCTTTTATTCAATTTTTATTAAAGTTCAAATAGTTGTTAGTTATGTTATTTCCACATAATTACTTGCTGTACGTGACAAAAATACTAAAAATATAAATAAAAAGAGGAGGTTTTGAGCAAATTGCAGTTCACATGAATCTTCTAGGCAACGATGAATTTGAGGTTTTTCTGTTTATAATTTTTAGATTTAAATATAATTTTTATTTATGTAATTTATCATTTTTTTCATTTTTTGTCTCTATAATTTTTTTATGTCAATTCATTCCTAACCTTTTATAATGTTTCAAAAACAATCCTTACCTTCAATTACCTTTAAAAAAAATTCTATATAGCAAACGAAATATGTATTATATTCGATATATTTGACCTCACTATTGTTACATAGGTAAATTGATTTTAAAATTGTTTTAGACAAAGTTTCAAAATGTAATTCATGGCACTCAAACTCTCACCCTCCCTCTCATTATCGCACTTTTCCTCTCTGGTCCAAATCTGACATTATAAATTATAAACCTCTCAATACAAATCCTAATCTCCTGACGAGGAGCAGCTTCTCACAATTTACAATCTCAACAAAGACATTGAGTTCGTCCTTAATGACTATCACCTTTGTAAGGTCGTCACCTCACTAAAGAAGAGTTCAATGCCATGTTTAGCTACTCTCCCATCATATAAGAACTCATTTGTTGTCAGAGTGTCCACTACTTTATTGGCATCACTGCTAATTTCACCTCCTCTAAGGCCAAGAAGAATTGCATTAATTGGTTCAAGACTATTAAGATCGTCCTCACCTATTGCATTTGTTGCCACAACGACGAGTGGGAGACCTCTTTGGAGAAGGGAGGTCGATAGTCCAACTCCATCACTGACATCAACCAAGACGCAACATTCCAAAATGAAATATGTGAAATTTTATCTTAAAAAATTAATATCCATTTACCTAGTGACCATGTCAAAGAGAAATATAACGAATATAACATAATTTCGTTTTCATGTATGATTTTTTTAATAGAAGTTAATGACATAAATTATTTTTGAAATATTATGAAAGATTAAGGATAAAAAAATAATAAAAAAATTTAGGGATAAGTGACAAAATGATAAATTACCGAAATCAAAATTATATTTGAACTTAATTTTTAAAATTTATAATGAAATAATAGATATATAAAAGTAAAATAAAAATAAAGAAAGTCTACCATAATTAGTAAATAGTCTAACATACATTAATTTTTTATTTTAACATTAAGAATCAAACTCAGTATCATAGTATTTCCAACAACTTATTCATATTGTTCATCAATTGAGTTAGACTCTCTTGGTAGACATACGTTACTTTGAAATAATAATTAGTGTATACCATCTTGTTACAGGTACAACTAGCATCTATAGTTTTAGATATTTAATATGAAATTTTAACCTAAAAGTACACACAAAACGTAGAATCAAACACTATAAATTTTCTAAACTTATGTATATGAAAAAAGATTTTGTTAAATAAAAGAAACTAACTTTAACAATTTTATATTTTAAAGGAATTAGTCTTAAATTATATATTAGAATCGGAATACTTCCTTCGTATAAAAAAAATAGAATAAAAATAATCATGTGACTAGACAAAATAATTAAGAAGGTGACTCTAATCATATTATA